CTAGGGAAATCTGCAATGTGTGCAGTAAACACCTCAACTGCTGTCCCTTATTTTCCCAACAGTTTTCTCCCTGAAACATTGGTTGGGGGCATGTGCTACATCCATCTCCTGGTGTTTTATCGGCAGATCCTTGGAGATGCCCTCCTGAAGGACAGGATGAGCATGCAGAGCACAGGTGAGCACTGGAGGAAGATCAGGTTCATCCAGGGAATGACTCTTGCCAGGTCTCCCTTTGGTAAGAGATGTTTTTGGCACTCAGGCTAAGTTATCCTCTTTATTTTTAGTTTTTAATTATTATTTACTTAATTATTATTTACTGCCAGTAGGGAGAGACAGAAGCTGGAGAATTCTGGATTTAGAACTCAGTGTCTTGCCCTGATTAGTCAACAGAACTAATGATAGTTCATAGCCTTCTCCATTTTAAAACCAACTTGAAATAAGGAAAATTTACATTTCTTAACTGTACTATGTATGAATTTCTGTAGGTGAGAACTGCCACACTTACCTGATTTGGTCTGCATAATTTAGGACAGTAGATTGGGCTGACGACCTCTCCTGGAGTTAAATTGCATCCCTTTGGATTCAGACTTCATGTGAAGTCATTGCAAGGCTTGATCCCAGGAGTTGTTCTGGTAGCTGTGCAACTAAAGAAGATTTCTATTATTTCAAAATCCACCATCACTTTAGAAATAGACAACTGAAAATGTCTGTTCTCATTCAAGAAGTCATCAGTCCTGGCTCTCTTCCCTGAAATGTTTGGAAGTTAGTAAATGCTTCATGTTTACCAAACTTCCCATCAGCTTCAAGGTGAAGGGACAAGTGTACATTCAATATTTGAAATCACAGGATAAAGAAAACACTTCAGCCAAAATCCTGCTCTCTGTCACTTGGAATCTTATCCACAGTCTCATTAATTACAGTAATCACAGGAGCAGAGTGACTTCTCATGGAAGTGACCCAGAAAGCACTGGGACACCTGTGCAGTGGGATATGTGCTCCATTGGGAAAATTCACTGTGCACTTGGTCCCTGGTTCTCCTAAAATGCCACACCAGGCTGAGGTAGAACCCAAGTGTGTTTATCCATAACATCCAAACCAAGCAGCACAATTGCAGCTGTGTATAAAAAAGACAGCTGCAGAAATGAGGGAAAACACCTTTGGCAGGTAAATCAGGAAGGGCTCGTGTTTGCTGGTGCTCCCAATAAACAGCACTGGGGTTTGTGTGTCTCCTCTCCTGGTTTAACTGTCTCTCAGCCACTGAGAATTGGCTGCAGTCAGAACAGGTTTCAGGGAGTTCTCCTACCTTGCTGCTCTGGAGAATTGTCACAGCTCATTTTCCCTTTGGAATAATCTGACAGGAGGGGATGTGCTGAATACCTGGATGTGCCAATACTTTGAAAACTGATTCTTCCTTGGCCTTGAATGTGTTTGTTTTCTGTTTCAGACTTAATCTGTAATCCTGTTCTTGCAACTTTCCCTCAGCTCCTGGATCAGCCAGACCTGATGGATGCACTTCGGGTATGTCAGGATTTCCAGGCAAAATTTGAGCTTTTTTTTTTGTCCTGGGAGAAAACAAAGTTCTCCAGCCTTGCTCTGATTTTACATTTCATTTTAGAGTGCCTGGGCAGACAAAGAAAGAACATTGAAGAGAATTGAGAAGGTAACAAACTACAGGTTTTTCTTTCCGTATATTCAGGGTAATTAATTCCACCTGGCTGCTCCCTGCCAGTGCAATTGCTGCATTGCTTTTCCTCTCACCACACATCTCTTTAGAAAATAGAGATATGTAAATGAAGTTCTTAACATTTCTCACCCAGATTTATAACAGTGAACCAGGAACAGGAGGAAAATGAAACTAACTTGTAACTTTTTATTTCAGTGTTGTTAGCGGGGAACCTGTTACATGTTGGAACCCAGAGTGGCTCCCTGTCAAGGTGTGCTTCCAACAGTCAGCACATCTTGGATACAAAAAGGGGCTGTGAATGCCCACAAAATCATCTTCCCTCATCCAAACTCTGAGCTTCAGTCCTCCCACAATCTGCCTGGGAAAAGGGCCCCTAAATTCCTGAGATCTCCCTACCCCAGAAAGTTGTAATCCATGTTTTGGCACATAGACAGCTAGAAAATTTACCTGGTTGTCCCTGGGCTCACCCAGACTTTGTCCTACATCCTGTCCTCTGGACAGAGAGCAGCTGCAGAGAACTGAATGAGAAAGCATTGGCTCTCAGTGCTGGATTTCATGGGAGCAGCAGCGGGATGTCTCATTCCCTGTGCCTGCTCCTGAATTGATGCACAAGCGCGGCTCCCCGTTTACGCAAACGCGCGCTGAGTCAGAGCAGCTTTTTCAGGGCCATTCATCCAAAAGGAGAGCAGATCTGCTCACGGAACTGGCACCTCCCCGGGATCCCAGAACCATCCAGTTCTACCTGACAGGCATGTGCCCCTCCCACGGGAGGATTGCTGCCTGCTGAATGCTCACCCCTCGCGTGGTTCCGTGAGGCTGAGCTCTGAAACGCTCCCTGCCAGGCACAGCGCTCCTGCGGCTGGGACACTCTGGACTTGGATCTTTCCCATGTGTTTGATAATTGACCAGGCTGATCCTTTGTCTCTGGGTTTTCCAGACTGATCTTCACAGGGGAGCACGCAGGTCACACCATGCACCAAGGGTGGGACAGCAGTGCCCAGGGGCAGCGTCACCTCTGGCTCCAAGGAGTGGGATGGGAGCCACGCTCCGCTAGGACAGCAGGAGAAATGAAAGGAGTTTGGGCTTCCAGGGCAGGGAGGATGTGGCAATGCTTTTAAGAAATATAAATACCCCACAGCAAAGGGCTCTCAGTGCTTGTAGTTTGTGGGAAGGCTGGCAGAGTTCAGGTTTGTGGATATGCTGGAGGCTTATCCGAGATAACGGATGTGTGTTGAGGAAGGTCAAATCTCTTCCCATTGTTTTCCTGGGAACTGGGATTGAGTTTTTTGGGTTTTTTTCCTGTGTACGGTACTTTGAAAAAGTGTTTGGCAACACCATGTGTTTGCACTGAGGTATTTTCAAACATTCTTCTCTGCAGAGAGATCAAGAATTCCTGAAGTCTGCGTTTGTCCTGGTGTACCACGACTCTGTGCTCCCTCTGCTCTGCTCCACGTTCCTCCCTGGCTACAGATGGGCTGAGGAAGAGGTGGAATTGTCTCGCTGGAAGGTGATCCATGACTTCCTGAAAAGGAGCCGGGAGAGGGATGGTGCCCTGGAGTACCTGCTGTCATCAGAAAACACCCACAGAGCCTTTGACATCTCAGAGCTGGCCTATGATTTCTTAGGAGAAGTGAGGGAAAACAACCCTGGAGAATGAACAATTCAGGCTGTCTAAGGACGTGGTAACAATAAAATTAAATTCTTACCAAAGATATTGTGTAGGAGCTGAATTGTAATAGATCTTTTAGCACAATTAAGATTTTGAGAGAGATTAAAATTATTTGTTTATCTACTGGAAATTGTATTTTGAGGGTTTTTTTGCAGCATTAAATGGGGTTCTGGTTGCCTGTTACTACCCGCTGTAGCCATGTCAGATGTCATATTTTGCCAAAGCTGAGGTAGCCCTTTTCTCCTCTCCTGCAGCTTCCAATTAATTTCCAGTGTTGTTTTAATCAGGGTGAACAAAAGACTCTTTGTCCCAGTCCCCCAGCAGCCTGGGAGCAGGGAAGGGAAAGAGCAGCGATCTTTAAGAATGCTGCTGAGCAAGGACAGCCAGCTTAGGGGAAGAATCCTCTCTTGTCCGACCAGTGACCAGCAGGTTGCTCCGTTTTTAGACTGTTTGCTGTTCCTCTCCCCTACTCAGGAGAAGGCTGGGTTACTCCCAGGAATGTGCCTGACCCAACACAAATAGCAGCTGGTGGGAATCCTGGGAATGCTGTGTTTCCCCAGGATTATTTCCTCTGCTGATCCCTGAGTGCCTTATGACCACAGGCTCCGTGTGCTGCCCATTCCCTGGGGGAAGTGATTAATCCACTTTCTCTTTAGTGCTGGAGCATCTGGATGCTTCCTGCAGGGTGATGGGGATATTGCCACCGAGTCACACCTGGATTTAAGCCCAGGCCAGGCTCAGTTTTGTCCGGCGAGATTTGAAACAAGATTTTTTAAAACCTCCACTGCATGGAGCCAAAAACCAACTCCCACTGGAGTATCTGTAAACTGGAGCCTCCAGAAATACCACAGAACACTTCCCCCAGCCTAGGAAGCGCTCAGAGACATGGATTTGATCTTTGCTCTGTGTTGTGCAAGAGCTTGGCATAGAAGCCCAGTTCCTGGGGCATCACCTGTCTGGCTTAGCAGAGCTGGGATAACTCACTGGGACAGTGTCTTCCTCCTGCTGTAGCCCAGTGCCCGGCTTAATTGGAGTCATTCTGTCCTCTCTGGGCCACCAGGCAGAAATGCCACCCCCAGCCTTTCATCCCACCCCTTATCTGGGAGTTCTGGGGCCAGGCAGAGTGCACTGGATGAGACAGCAAGTGCTTCCCGAATCCAAACTGCATTTGCCAGGAGGCAGAAATTCCTGTCGCTCCCCTTCAAACCTTACTGGGCACTCGGGAGTACATTGCCAATGTTTGTAAAATTTACCTGCTAGTTTCACAGATTCACAGAATCACTAGGTTGGAAGAGATCTTCAAAATCATGGAGTCCAACCTGTTCCCTGACACCTCAACTAAACCACGGCACCGAGTGCCACATCCAGTCTTTTTTTAAACACGTCCAAGGATGGTGACTCCACCACCTCCCCGGGCAGACCATTCCAGTACTTTATCACTCTTTCTGAAGGCTGGATGCTCCTGGAGGGTGTGGATGGGTCTGATGTGATGGCGGAGCAGAAACCTGAACAAAAAGGGGAGGAGGCAACAACAGTGGAAGCAAAAATATTTCAGGATTGGAAGCGTGCCAAGACAACTGTTTGCAGGAAACATTTCTGTTCCGGCAAGGTGTAGGAACTTTTTTCCTTCCCCCTCCAGTGAATGCCCTTGCGCTGGCGCACGGCGGGGCCGGGGTCCCGCTCTGTCCCACCGCGGCTGGCAGTGGGATGCACAAAGCGCCGCAGTCTCTCTGTCTCGGGCGGTGCCAGGGGCTGGCCGGGCCGGGGCAGCGGCGCGGTGCCAGCCCGGGCCGGTTCCTGCGCTTACGTGCCGCGGGCGTGTCCCTTAAATCCCGCACGGGAGCGGCGCGGGGCAGGCGAGCCCCGGCGGAGCCGAGCGGAGCGGTGTCGGCGGAGGAGAGATGGCCTCGGTGGGTCCCTCCGCAGCCCCCACGCAGCCCGCCCTGCCCTCCGGAGCCGCCGTCTTCAAAACCATCCCCTACGCCTTCATCCTGCCGGAGATCGTGAGTATGCCGCGCTCCTCTGCCTCATGGAACCCACTCCTAAAATCCCCTGAAACCATCCTGAAGGCATCGTGGCTGGGAAGTGGCATCTTGTCTTTGAGCTTACGTTGAATGCACGAAGTATTCCTGATGGGGTTTTTAGGAGCAGCTTGAGGACAAGGTACACTCGGCTCCATCACAGCCTGGGTGAGGGTCCAGGGCTGCCGTGGGGCTGGGAGAGGCTGAAGAGCTGCTGGCTCATCGAGGGCACACCAGCAGCTCTCGTTATCATGAAGCAGCTCTCGTTACCTTGCAGAAATGCCTTGAACATCGAGGGAATTTTCCTCTCTGTATCAAGTCGTTCCAGGGGTTGAAGGCAGTTGGGCGCCTGGTAATGTGTGATGACATTCCTTGATTCTTTCAATTGCTTCTGGGTCCAGAGGGCATCCAGTGGGACTGGCCAAGATTGCACCTGATGTACTTTGTCATGGTGCACGGGGCTGGCAACCCACACACCCTGTGCTCCACAGGCACAGTCCCTGCCCGTGGCGGCGGGCTCAGCTCCCTGCTGCAATTCCAGGGGTTTCACCCACTGCAGCTGGGATGGCACAGGGTGGCATGGGTTCATCCTGATAACCCCGTGGGCTTTTTGTGCTCAGTAAATATTTTGGGTGGATCCAGAGCGAGCAACTTGCTCCAGGCTGGTGCGTGGAGCTGAGAGGAGACTTCCTTGTGCTGTGATTCCAAGCCCTGGAGATTAACGAGCGGGCAGGGCTGGGTTGAGGCAACCACTCACTTTTCCCAGATAAAAGCACATTTTCTGGCTTCTCCACCAAATCCCTCGGGGTGAGACATTTCCTTGTGTGCAAGGCGGCAGCAAACCCTTCCCTTTCGTGTGATCACTCATTTCCCATGAGCTTTCAGGGAAACCGGTGCCAACTTGCTTGCTTGTTTCCCAGAGCACCGGGATGCTCTGGGAAAGATGCAGGGGTTCCGCTGGCTGCTGCAGCTGGCCCAGGAGGGAACTGGGGAGGAAAAGAGCTTTTCCTCATCCCACGCTCATCAGCGGCGCCTGTTTGTCCCCGGCAGGTCTGCGGGACCTGGGTGTGGATCCTCGTCGCTGCTACCTCCGTCTCCTTGCCGCTGCTGCAGGGATGGGTGATGTACGTGTCCCTCACCTCCTGCCTCATCTCCCTGCTGCTCCTCTTAAGCTACCTCCTCGGCTTCCACAGGAACAGCGAGAACTGGAAAGTGCTGGTAAGGAGGGGACGGAACGCGGGCAGATGTTGGCAGCAGCAATGTGGGCGCAGGACCACCATGGCCGGTGACCCACCAACCCTTTCTTCCTTTTACCTCGACTGGAAAGGCCAGGGGAGCTCTGCTGTGAAACCACTGCCTGGGAGGGTTCAGTCCCAGGCCTATCCAGGCACCTGTCCCCCTCTGGGGCACTCACAGGTGCCTTGTTTTGCAGGACAGTTTGTACCACGGCGCCACGGCCATTCTGTACATGAGCGCCGCTGTGCTGCAGGCCAACGCCACCATCAACTCTGAGTTCGGCGTCAACGCGCCGCTCAACTACCAACTCAACAGCGCTGCATCGGTGAGTGCCGAGCAGCCTGCCGGGCTGCAGGACACACAGTCACCCCTGCAAGGGCAACAGCACGTGCTAAAGCCACAGCAGAGCCACCCCAAGCCCCACAGTGCCAGCTGGGCAGAGCTTCAGCTCCTCAGCTCTGTGGGTGGTGCAGCTGGCGTCGGCTTCTCAGGGTCCACCAGTTCATGGACAGCCTGACGTGGCTGGGTGCTGGGAAAAGCTGAGGCTTTGCCTCTCCTTTGAGGCTGGAGGGAGGTCTATGCTGGAGGCTCCCCCATGCTGGGAGCACTGGGAGGAGATGGGGTTTGACTCTGCCAGCTGACCCTTCCTCTCCTTCCTCTCATGCAGTTCTTCGCCTTCCTCACGACCTTCCTGTACATCCTCCACGCCTTCAGCATCTACTACCAGTGATCCTGGCAGCACCAGATTCACCTTTACGGGACAAGGGCTTTCCCAGTGTGAGAGACCCTGCTGTCCTCCCAAGGTGTCTCTGCCCCAGCCCTGTCACCGGGCCTCAGGAACAGCAAGTCCTTTTGCACTTCATCACAGGAGGGATTTTGCTGGCACACGTTGGTGTGCCTGTGGACATTTCCTGCCTTGTCTGGGGGAGGGACTTGCAAGGGGAGGGACTGGGTGCAGGCCCCAAGCCTCCAATACCAACATTCTGCCAAATATTGACAACCAGAGGAAGAGAGAGAAAAAAAAAATCACTGTTCCTTCAGCAAACAATCTCCTTTCTAATGTAATTTGCCTTTCTCCGGCTCAGCTCCATCCCTCCCCAACACAAGTTCATAACAATGATACAAGATTGTGTCCCTTGACTTTCAGATGGTTTCATTTGGTAAATACTGTATTTGGAATAAAGTGTCAATGGACAGATTTTGACTACTCTGTAAGCTGTGTTCACTGAAAAAGCTCATTTTACTTCCCAAGAGTTAGAAAAGAAACAGAAAATGTTCACTTACGGAGCTACAACAGATTTTAAACAAGCAAATCATAGAGCCCATAGGAAATTTCTAGATGTAGTACAAAACTACAGCATGAAAAGAATGATTACACGGGAGGAGAACAGACATTTACAGCAGTTCTCCTCCCGTGTCTCCTGATTCCCATTACAAAACCTGCAGCTGCAGAGTCCAGGCACTGGCACCGCCGTCACGGAGCACCGCCGTCACTGCTGTCCCTCTTCCGTATGCTCCGCCTCGGAGTGACTGGAAGGAGCTCCCTCCTCTCCCTGCTCCAGGCAATCCTGCAGCTCTGGGACACTGTTGGCTCGCAGCACATCCAGGTAGAGCAGGTAGTCCTGGAGGCAGGCTGGCAGCGGCAGTTCCCGGATCACGCGCTCCGAGCGCAGGCGCTCGCTCCCCAGCAGGGACCGGATCTCCAGGCGGCACAGATGGGACAGGGAAGGAAGGAAGGCTGGAAAATGGAAAACCAAGTCAAACACAGAGCAGCTCTTACCACACCAGTATATTTACTAACAAAAAAGTAAATAAAGAGAGAACTTAATCTCCATTTTCCCAAATAACTCCTGTTTTTTTAAACTCCAAAAGCATCCTCATTAACTTCAAACATTCTAAAGGAAGTATTATTAAATTACATTATCACTTGGACAACTTAAAAATTATTACAGACTCCTTTAAAGAAGAATTTTCTTTGAAAGGAATCATTAACAAAGACACCTAAGTGCAGTTTCTCACATAACACATGACCTGCTTTTCTCAAAGCTGAACTATGAAAAATTCCTGCACAACCAATTGAATCTTTTTGGCTGATCACATTTTGATTATGTTTGATTTTTATGGTTTGCATCTAATTACTGTCCAATGCTTACAAAACAGGACAGATGCTTCATTAGAAATACAAATCAAATTAGAAAAGCAGAACACAACTAAGTAATATTGTCATCTTCTCCTAAATCTCCCCATTTGCAGCCTGGAAGCTGGAGACATTATTTTCCTGCCTGTATTCCTTACCAAAATGGCTCTTGGAAGTCCAAGTGAACTTCTCCTTGTATTGGGAAAGGTGTTGCTCCACAATTGGAGGAAGTCTGCTCCAATTCATGAACTCCAGGACAAAATTAAGGACATCCTCACTCATGGAGAAAATCCTGTGTAACAAAGACTTCTTTAAAATACCTTTTAAAAGTATTTGTAGATTACAGAACGAAAGACCAAAAAGCATCACATGTGATACACAAGGACAGTGAGATTCATTCAGTCACTGAATTGCAAACTTGTAGTGTGTTTACTACAGCCTGCAGAAAGTACAAAAATTTCATAACTAAGTTTAATCCTATAGTGCCCAATTACATATAAAACATCACCAAGCTGTTGCTCATATGTGGAAAAACTTCAATAACAATAATAATAATAATAAAAAATCTGACTGGAATTTTTGCCACATTGTGTTAAACAAAACAGTCTCAAACTGCATCCGTTTCCTCTCCTCCCAGCCTTGGCCCAGCTTCACTTCCCATTTGCTTCCCATCCCTCCAGACCTATTTCTCCCATTGGAATTTCTTCTTACCATGGCTGTATTAAAGTATTGCACGCACAATTTGCAGCTAAATTTGGGGGTTAAGTAGACATGTTCGATATAAATTTGGGAAGTGATGCTTTATTGCTACCATAGAGAAAGGCAATTTCCAGTCTGGCTTTCTTCCTAAAGAAAACTGTTTTACTGCTTCCAGACATGACGTGTGAATGATTTATTTCAGACTTTCCACAACCCCTCCCGTTCCTGATGGTGGCAACAGATTATCAAGGGCCATCCTGTAGCGGCTCTGCACACTAGCATGAGATGTTTGAGTAAATAAAGACAAGGCTCCCTGCTTTACCAGAACCTGCACATGAAATTCACGGGGTTGAAGCCAGCCAGGAGCAGGCAGGGCAGCCATTCCTTGTATTCCTTCTGCACCGTGCTGCTGTAGAGGATGAAGTCTGTTAATTCCTCCTCCGAGGGCAGGGAACAGCCGAACCTCAGGAAGCGCCGGAACAGAGCAAACTTCTTATGGCACAGGCAGTGTGCCAAGTTGATCCCACGCAGGGTGATGCCGTATTTCAGAAGGACATCAATGAACTGATAATACCTGTGAGCAGGAGAAGGAACAGGGCATCCCGTGAGCTTTGCCTCAGAAAGCACCTACCACTTCTTACATCTGTCTGCAACAAAACATTTCAGAATGTTTTTATTAAAATCCTTTTGTGATTACCCACTGCAACAAGGTAACAGGGTAAGGACTGAGGCTGTGAGCAGTCACCTGCTCTGCATCCCTTCCTAAATTATTTTTTATAAAGCAACACCAGGACAAAAAGGGAAAAATGGTGTCCGAGGATTTTGAAAGGCAGCTTCCTAGGAGCAGGCCACGAACTAAATTCACTACTAACAAACCTCGTTCATTTAAATGGCAGCCATAAACAAATTATAAATACGCCATAAATAAATTTCAATCCGTGTACAAAGAAATAATTTGTTAAAGTCTGAGAGGATTCAAAAGCTGTTTTTGAAGATGTTCTCCTTAGTGCAGCACACGTGTCACATTCCAGGACTTCACATTAATATTCCCAAGGAAATAGGAATAATGAGGAAACAAAGCAAAGGGGGAACACACTGGAATCCTGGAAAAATATTAGATGACAGACAGCAGGTGAGGGAAGAAGGTGGGAAACTATTAAAAGAAACATTGGAAGACTAAGAGAAGAAGGTGGGAAACATTAAAAGTAGTAAATTAAAGCAAATATGATTACGAATAATTCCAAAATAGAAGAGCTTTGCTTACTGCTTTTGGAAAATCATGCACATGGGGGACCTGCAGCCAAAGTCCAGGCACTCCTGAGCATCTGGGCTGAAGCCCTGCTTGAGCAGCATCTCCAGGCACTCCCCGTCGCCGCCGTACAGCGCCGAGTACACGGGGCTCACTTTGCCCTCGCCCTTGTCACAGAGCCGGTCAGTGACTGGAATCAGCAGCTCCAGGATCCTGCAGGCGTTTGAAGCCACTGCTTTCTGATCTTATTGCAGTGATTAATCTTAAACACACAGCCATTTTTTTTTCAGAGGGTCATTGCAGCTTTGGAAGAAAATCGTGCTTTTCACTCCTGAATTTGCAGCTTTATAATTCCATACACGGACCCCTGGCAAATGTTGTGCTTTGGGACGGATTTGGGCTGGAAAGAAGGATTTTAAACCAAACCAGGGACAGCTACTTCCTATTACCCAGCAACTCTTTTTACAGCAACTGAACACCACTGCACATTAAATCCCAACTCCAAGGAACTTTGGAAGCAACCTGTAAATGTGAGTTGCAAATGAAACAAATACTTAGTTCTGTAAAACAGAAAAATCACTTTGTTTACAGCTCACACCCTAGGCCACATCACATTAGTGACAAACACCAGTTCCTTTGCTGCTGGAATTTACTGGTGCTGCATAAGAGTTGCCAGTGATGTATCATCATTTATATATTTAAGTGCTGCCCATGTGTGAATCATGGAGTTCCTGAGAGATCCTTCTCCCCAGTGGTCTACTCCCAAAACTTCCTTCCACTCTTGGCTCACTGCTGTGGAATTGACTTGTGTATCTGAAACTGGGCAAAGCTACAAATGCATCTCTGGAAAGATTAAAGAAACTGTTTTTGTGGCTTTGATTTTTCTGGCTGGTCCAGCTAATTCAATATTTGCATATAATTATTTCTGCTGCTTAATATAGAATTCTAATTAGCAGCCGTTCAAATCATATATAATGTATTACACAGTTATTTGCATTTTTAAATGGAAAATAAAATGGCCATAGAGTGAACTGGTATCTAGTTCAGCACCATGGAAAACCCTCTAAATTCATTAGGTTATGGATTAAACCCAGGTTAGACACAGAATTAAAAATCATATAATCATAGAATTGGTGGGGTTGGAAGGGACCTTCAAGGTGATCCAGCTGTAGCCCCAATGGGCAGGGACACTTCCACTATCCCAGGTTGCTCCAAGCCCACACAACCTGGCCTGGAACACTTCCAGGGATGGGGCAGCCACAGCTTCTCTTGGCAAACTGTGCCAGGGCCTCCCCACCCTCACAGGGAAGCATTTTTCCCTAATATTTCATCGAAACCTACTCTCTGTCAGTGTGGAAGAAACTACTAAGAGACATTTAAAATACAATAATAATCAGAATGTCTAAACTACAGAGCAGTTTGAACACTCAATTTTCCTCCCTTTTAGGGCTGAACTTCCTCCTTTGGGGATCAGATTTGTGTGACCAGGACCTCCTGTCTGAATGCCTCTGCAACCACCTACTTTGCATGGCCCATCTCAGCTGCTGCATGGATGGGTAACTGCCAGTTATCCTCGTTGCAGTAGAGGTTTGGGTCTGCCCCTGCAGTCAGCAGCAGCTTCACACACTCCAGGTGTCCCTCCTGCGCAGCAATCAGCAGGGGAGTGGCCCTGTCCTTGGCCTGGCAGTTGACGTCTGCACCTGACACAAAACAAAACCAAAGTCACCTCCATCAGGTCATTATCTTTCACAGGGTGGCTTCAAATCCAGCATTTTCTCCTCAGCAATAAGGAAATACAACCTCTAACGTTTGAAATGACGATGTGCAGGAGCAGAGCTACAATTGCATTTTAGTGGGAGCGTGGCCAGGGAAATGGAGGATGGTGCTTACCGTGGGACAGGAGCAGCCGCAGGCTCTCCAGCTGGCCATATTGAGCAGCCACAAACAGAGGGGTGATTCCAAAGTCATCACGACAGTCCTTGCTGGCCCCTTTCTCCAGGAGCATCTGCATTATGTCAGTGGAGCCCTGAAATCAATGGTTTTATTCTCATCCAGCAGGAAAGTGAGGAAATCACACAACGCGTTTTTCCCCACATGCTCCAGACAGAAATAATAAAGGCCACAATATATCCAGTATTCTGAAGATGCACTTAAAAATTAATGGTGAAAGAAATTAGGCAAGTTCAAATTGATCACTCTTGCTCATTTACATGATGAAGTCATTTGTATGTGTTAGAACCATTAAGCAAACATATTTTTAAGTACAAGCTAGGGTAGGTTAGGAAAAATTATCCGATAAAAATGCAATAATTATTAAATAAATAATTATCCCCCAGAGTACACCAGTTACACCAAAATTACATGATGTGCTCACAGGTTACCTGAAAGGAAGCTTGGTGCAAAGAATTCCATCCAGACCATGAATGAGAACCTTCAATATTTGCTCCGTGTTGGAGCAGGAACTTTACAACCTCTGCATGCTTATTTTCAACAGCTTCCATAGAACAGTAATAAAAAGAAAAAAAAATCTTATTGAAGAATTTGAAAAAGAAATAATTTAAGTATTGGGGTTTAAAAGCTCAAAAGGTCTCACTGCCAACTTCCTTTAAATTTGCCCATTATATACTGACTTGCCTTTTATATTTAGATCCCCAAAACAGTATTGGGGAATGGAAATTATACCAAAATTCCCCCAAACTTGGAAACAAAGGTAACATGGCACGCATGATGCCTGGGTAGAGAGGCAAGTAAACCAATAAATATATTTAATCAGATGATTTAGACCATCAGGATTCACCATAACAGAAGTTTTAAGCATTAAATTAAGTCAAACATAAGCAACAGAAAAAATGCTAAAATAATGGACCTTAATTGCCAAACTAGGAATGCCAAAAATAAGCCTTTTTACACAAGAATTAGGGAGGAACTATAAAAATCAAAAAGGCCTTGAAACAGCCTCATACAGATGTAATCCTGAACCTCCTAATGCTTTTCTGTGCTTGATGCAGAAAACCAGTTTGCTTTTATAATTTTGTTTTGAAACACTGTCTGAAGCAGATTTACCCATAAACAAAAGGTTATTTCCACACCTCTAACGCCTGGTTATTTAGGGCTACAAAAAGATGCAACATGGCAGGCAAGTAAGAAACTCTGGTGAGCTTAAACTCGAAGAAACTTGAGTTTTTAACTGGTGAGTTCAAAGTCTGGGACTTGAGGAAAGCTCGTGTCACCTAGGAAGAGTGGAGTGGTGGCAGATTCGGTGGTGACGTTGTCGAGGTCAGCCCCAGCTTCCAGGAGAACCCGGAGACATTCCACAGAGCCGTGACGGGCCGAGAGGTGCAGAGCACACATCCCTTCAAACGTCCTCGAGTGGATGTAGTCATCGGCTGGAGCTGCAGAGGAGCATAACGTGCGGGGAAAAGGGATATTTGGCAGCAAATTACAAAATACAATCATTTTAAGAAAATAATGGAGTTATTTGAGTATGTGGCCTATGGAACACCCATGAATACGCTGTTATCACCTCAAGTATCACCCATGAACTGCAACGTGTCAACTTCTCTTTACCGCAGTTTGGAAACCACACAGAAAATCCCCAAACAAGAACATGATAAATCTATGTAACTTGTATTTTCTATGACAGGGTAATTTAGCACAAAACCACACTATTTCCCATTAGCTTTTCCTTACCTGTATCAATGAGCAGCTTCAGGCACTCACTGGAATTGTGCGCTGCCGCTTCGTGGATGGGCAACCACCTCCTGTTATCCGGGACATCGACGCTGTATCCCCGACTGATCAACTCCCTCAGTATCTCAACGTTTCCTTCTCTGGCCGCAAGGCCCACGGCCGAGCACCGGTCGGAATAGGCTTCCGTGAAATCCATCCCTGGCATGGAACGCTGCAGGAGGAAAGGAGTAGAGCAGGGGAAAAAAAAATAAGAGAGATGCGTGTTGGTACAATACAGACATGAGGGGGGTTTTGTTTGTTTTGCAGAGGATTTGGCTTGGTTTGTAGGGAGATGGTGCCTTGGGGGGCTTAGAGGGCGGTGATTGATTGGGATGGGTTGGGAAAGGTCATTTGTGAAAGTTGAGGGGAGATGGGTTTGAGGTTTGAGGTGAGGTGGTTGTTTGGAAGGCGTTTGGAGATTTAAGGGGAGGTTGAGTTGGAGGAGGGATAGTTGTTTATGGGGCTAAGGGGTGGTTCTTTGTGGGGTTTAAGGGCAGAGGTAGCTGGGGCTTTGGGGCAAGGTGTTTGAGGGGATGTGGTTGTTTGCAGGACTGGGCGGCGAGGCAGGTGCTTGGGGGAGGTTGTTTGTGGATTTGGGACGTGCTCGCCGGTGGGTTTTGGGGGACACAGTCGTTTGTGGGCTAGGGGGAGGCGATCCGGGCCGAGGAGCCGCGAGAGCGCCGGCCCCCGCCAGGCTCCGGCCGCGGCCGCCGCCTCCGCCCGGGGCCGCCCCGCGGCTCTGCGCAGGCCCCGCCGGGCCGGGCCGCCATGTGGGTGTTCGGCTACGGCTCCCTCATCTGGAAGGTGGATTTCCCCTACCAGGAGAAGCTGGTGGGGCGCGTCCGCGGCTACAGCCGGCGCTTCTGGCAGGGCAGCACCGACCACCGCGGCGTGCCGGGCAAGGTGAGCCGGGGCCGGGGGGAGCGCGGCCGCCGCGTCGGGCCCGGCTCAGGGCCCTGCCCCGCGGCCGGAGCCGCCGCAAGGGCTGCACCCAAACCCTGGGACAACACAAGGAGCTTCAAGGAGGGCTCGGAAATGCCCGCACTCGTCATTTAGGGAGTTAAATACCCTCGGTGAGGGGCGGGTGTCAGGCTGTGCACAGGGAATAGGAAGAGACAGAATTATTGATCCAAGTAACCCCCGGCTGTATTTTAACTTGTTTTACTCTCAGGTGACAATTCATGGATTAGGAAGTACTTGAAGTTCTAAAATTCTTCACCGTTTGGAAAAGGAGGGAAAAAAAAAAAAAAACAAGCCAGCGAGAAAAAGAAACTAAAATTACCAGTGAGGATTCCCAATGTCATGTGTTTTTAAGCCACGGGGGTAAGGATAAGGTATAACCTGCACCCAGGTGACTCCGCTGTAAACCTGAAGCGGCTTTAAGAGAGAAAAAGCATCAGGATTATTTTAAAGAACACATCTTGCTTCGCGGAAGGTTCCATCCAGATGTAAGCAACACTCGTTAGGACCTCAAATACCATAAAATAACTTGCACAGAGTTCAAAGAACACAGCTTGAGCCACCAATGACACATTAAAGAACAGCCATGAGGAAAAAATAGTTCTTACAAACATACAACAAATTAGATGTTGGCTGTATTTTAAAAATATTTTCAGAGGATTATTCGCAGTAGTACAAACAGTAATTAATTCCTCTGATCAATAAGTATTTAGTAACTTGTTTCTTACTTCAATAAATCTTTAGTAACTTGTTTGTTTTGGGTAGTTCCAGGCAAGACAAGGACTCTGCAAGCAATTAAGTAAATATGCTGCCCTTCCTTAGGCAAACAGATCCTTCTTCCATCACACAACCCACCTGAACATGAAGTTCTCCTCAGTACTGCCCTTCATATTAAATCAAATTAGATTTAAATTAAATTTAATGAATTTAGGCTACAGTTACAGACATTCTTAGCAAAGGCAAGAAAGTTGATTTCCATCCACCACAGAATGTCTCTTTAATCCATAATTCACAAAAATCTTCATGACCTGTTGCAAGTGCACAAGTCAGAGAACTATCAATGACTATGGAAAAAATATTCCAACAGGAACAACAAAGTTATCTTTAATGTATCATGGGAACAGACTCATTTCTCCTCAGGAAATAGGAGTCATTTAGTGTTCATGTAGCTTTATTGCCTTCTTTTATCAGTCAGATCAGGAATAAATTGCTCATGCTGGGAGAGAACTAATTTGCTGCCAAAAGCAGCAATTTTAAACTGCAGGTGTAGTTCACCATAGGGTTTTATGTTTTAAAGTTTTATACAACAAACTTCAACTATTTTATTTCCAGTATTTACAAACTGGCTTCTTACTTTTTCCTGCAAGAATTAATATACTGGGGAAAACAAGCCATGTGGTAGGTATCCTCCCTCCATCCAGTGAGGCTCCAAGGGCTCCTTGAGGACAGTTTTACATTAATGAAACTCTTAATTATCGCCGTTATTGTATTGTTAATTAATCGTCACTTTTAAATTGCAGTGGAATTGAGTCTGGACAGCACATGTAAAGCAAGGACCTCCCAATTTCAATTCAAACCCTCCCAATTTCTGACTGCCTTTAATTGTTGTGTCACAGGCACTGTCCACCCAGAATTTAACATGTTGTTTATTTTATCTAATACACATCCAAAGCTACTCCCCAGAAATACTTACACTGGATCTGTACCTTACTGGAATTGTGCTGGATTAGTTCTCTGAGTGTTTAATTCCTGTTCCTTTTTTTTTTTTTTCTCATTTTGGTTTGGTTTTGCTCGTGATTTAGGGCAAAAGCCTCTGACTGAATGATAATTTCATCTTTTAAATTTTAGCCTGGAAGAGTTGTGACCCTGGTTGAAGATGCTGAGGTACAGTACTGTTGTACAGAATGTCCTGTTGCATTTCCCCTCATTAATTTTTGCTTTTCTGCGAGCAGACAACTGTCTTATCTTTAGGGGAAAGTTCTCTCAGTGTTTCCCAGAGTTACACCAATGGCCCTTGACTGTTTCAAATAATCAATATAAACTGGAAGTAGTTTGGGTCTGTTACTGCCACAGGGATATTTTAAAGTATATTCTGGAATAGCCACTTTGGCTATCCTGTTGTGAGATGTAGAATTTGATAGAAAGATACATCAAACGTACATGATTTGACATCAACAGCGAATGATAAATGTAATTGCTATAATTCCAGCTTCACAAGGTTTGACCAGATTGTGGAGCTATCTCAGCACTCCACACCAGTTCAGGTGTGTAACAGGTGTAGGTGACCCTCGGGTCCTTGCCAGACTGTCACTAAACAGGAGGGACCTGGTCAAAATTCCTTCAAATTCATCATTATTTAAATTTGTCATTTTCAGACATAATTTTTATGAGGTCAGGGAGAAACTCTGTGTCCTTTTTGCCAGCTCCTGTACCGAGGCTATTTACTATTCCAAATATTAGCAAAACAAGAAATTGCTGTGTTAGGAACACCTGAGCCTTAGCAGAAAGAGGATGATCAATCTGCGTGATCAGTGTTTTCGCTGGCAGAGCAGCCCTTTCACTCTGGGACTTACAAACACTGCAAAAAGCAGCAGAAGGGCAGAAAATCAGTTTCCAGAAAGCTCTGCCTAAATGCAGTGATTTCTGAGTATCCTTTTGACCAACCCTCCTCGCCCAGGGCTGCGTGTGGGGCGTTGCCTACCGACTACCAGCCGGGAAGGAAGGAGAAGTGAAAGCCTACCTGGATTTCCGGGAGAAGGGCGGCTACAGGACCACCACGGTCATCTTCTACCCGAAGGACACGTCGGTGCAGCCCTTCGACGTGCTGCTCTACATCGGCACCCGCGACAACCCCAACTACCTGGGCCCCGCGCCGCTCGAGGACATCGCGCGCCAGATCCTGGGCGCCGCCGGGCCTAGCGGCAGGAACACGGAATACCTGTTCGAGCTGGCCAACTCCATCAGGAGCCTGGTGCCCGAGGACGTGGATGAGCACCTCTTCTCCCTAGAGACACTGGTCAAGGAGCTCTTGAGCAAGCACCAGAATCTCAACTGCCTGTGAAGCGACGCCTCAGCAGCCTGGTTCTGGCTTTGACGTGGCAGGGAGGAATGCTCCTCTGTATTCTGCTGTCCTAATTAGTACTGCGTATCTTAATTAATGCTGCATCCAGAATAGGAGTTGGTTACTTAAAACCGCCAAAATAATTCTTTCAGGAGTCGAGAAAGGAGAGCAACAAAAGTCTTCTGAGTTTGAATTCGGTATCTCAGCTTTTCACCCAAAGACTACACCTCAAGACAACCACTTAAACTTCTCTTTGTGTTTTATTATTATTGTTTCAGGTTTAAAATAAATCTTTAGAATATTTTTGAGGTCAAAATCAGCATGCAGAGACAAGTTCCTTAGATTTAAGTGATAGTTTGTTCTGATCCCAGACCACAGCGCAGGAATTTTAAGTGGTTGGCCTAAATTGTGTAGTAGAACATTTATATCAACATTCAACTCCTCTGAAATAAAGTTACGCTGCTGAATTAGTCATCTCACCCTTTATATGTTAATTTATCCTTAAATGCAGAGCATAAACCATTTTATTGTAAAGGAAATAATTCCTTCCCTTGGCTGCTGATGTCAAGCCCTGAAAACCAAAGCTCTGGGCACTCTGACTCAAACAAGCCATAACCTATCAGTGCCTCGTTTTAATTTTCAATCCTAATATAAAGAAGAACCCCAAAATACTAAAATTAACTAAGAGCATGACTTGAAATCACAACACAGCAAGAAGAGAAACTCTCATCTCTGTTACTTCAGGTGCTGCTGTGGTCCCCATCTCTTTGAAAATCCCAGCTGCAAGGATAGATTTTCATTTCAGGGATTCACCAACAGAAGGTAATTAAGGAAGGAACCCTCTCTCCAGTAACCTTAGGGGTGTGTATGGACATCCCAAGAGGGTTGGGAAGTCCCCAGTTTAGGCTGCCAGGCTTCCTGATGGAATCCATCCCAACACGGACTTGTCTTGCTCCTCAAAACTCTTTAGTTTTATTAACTTTTAACCGAGTATATTTTTATATGTTAATATAAAAGGTTCTGTTTCAAACACCACATAACATCCTGTTTTCCCATCCAGGGGATGTGTGTTTAGTAGCAGCCTGGATTCTGCATCAGTAATTGCAAAAAAAGTGTGTTTTTCCCCTAAAAAGGTTGGCCCTTTCTGTTCTTTACACTTTCCTGGTTTATACTTGTAAAGGTAAAAGTGTTCAATGGCACTCTCTGCTTTCCTGAAAATTCTTTTTAGATTTAAAAATTCTTTCCTCAAAGACTTATTCTTGTTCCTTAAAACAGGGCAGGGGATGCATGTGCTCAGTAAGGATCCAGAACCATCAGGGCTGATTCCCCCTTTAAAATGCTAATTATTTAAGTACTGTGATTCTGCGTAGCTCCACACTCTCTGTCTTTGTCTCCAAGGCTTTGTTGGTTCATTTGCTTCCTAAATGCATAAAACATTGCAATAATACACGTTCCTGTGTACGACTTCAGTGCAATAAAAACGCATTACAATGACTGGAAATTTCCAGAAATGTAATGTTTGAAGTGTCTGTGTGAGGGTGGACATCAAGGTGTGTGTTCATTGCCCCTCGCTATAAAATTGCGGTTGGGGCTGGGAATGACAAACAACACACAGGGGCTACTGGAAACTGTGGCACATTAGGAACTGATTTATGCATGGGAAATATAAATAGATACATTTGTTCTTGCTCTGGGGGATTAAAGCCACTGCTCTGCCCCCAGCTTTGGTCCCTACCAAAACCCTCCCAGATCTGTTACCTCAAAAATTTTAAGACCGTTTAGGCTTCATTTTTTTTTTTTTTTTCTGAGTGGTTAAATTCAATCTCTGTTTATGCAAATAAAGATTTTAGATCTGTAGGCTTCACTACACAACCACGCACACAAAAGCCACTGCTAAACCTGTTCTCAAACAGTGTTTGGGGAAACAACAGGCACATCCATGACTATTTACAGAAGATAATGCTGAGAGGAGGGAGAGGGAAATCCAGACTTAAGGCTTGGACTCCGTCATCTCCAAGGTATTTCCCAACCAGAATAACTCCAAGGTTCTGTATTAAGGGGATCCTCTGAAGCGTGGCCAATTAATTTCTCACTCTTACATCCTTCAATTTTTTATCTGCTCCGTATTTCCCATGGTCAGATGGGACTGGCCTAACCTGCTCTGATGTTAACCTGACTGCTGGCCCCCTTGGGTTCTCAGGTGTCTAGATACACACACAGACACACAGGTGTATAGAGAAACACACAGAGGAGCCCTTGAAGCGCTCTTCTACACTCATAACCTCATAGCTCTTAGTTATGTTTAACTCTTAGCGTTGCCACTGGTGACCAAACTTAATTATTAAAACTTAAACGCATCCCGTTCCCCCCTCCTCTTACTCGCCCCCATTTTACCCCTCCCTCCCTCCCTCGCCGCTCGCTCCCTCATTCACACTCCTCCCTCACACTCATTCCCTCACACTCCCCATTCAAATTCCTCCTCCTCACTCCCTCACACTCCCTCACACTCACTCACTCACTCACTCACTCACTCACTCACTCACTCACTTACTTCCATCACCCCCACCTTCGCTCGCTCCGTGCCCGCCCGGCCCCTCACCCCCTCACCTGCGGCGGCGAGCGCTGCCCCGGATGCCGCTGCCGGCGGCGGGCGCTGCCCCGGTTGTTGATCGCGGCTGCCGGAAGCCGACGTGGCGGCGGCCGCCCTGCCCGGCCCCGGCGCTGCTCTGCGGGCTGCTGGCGGCCGTGGCCGCGGTGGCCGAGGGCGGCCGAGCGCTCCCGCAGCTCAGCGACGACATCCCGTTCAGGGTGAACTGGCCCGGCACCGAGCTCAGCCTGGTCGGTACCGCGCCGGGCCCGCCCGGAGAGGGGCCCTGAGCTCCCCGCCGCACGGGGGGCTTGGGTGGGGCTGGTCCGCCGCAGGAGGGAGCCCGGCAGCTGGAGAGAATCCCGGGGGATTCTGTGCCGAAAGCGGCGGGGGGTGGCTGGGGCTGGGGTGAAGGTCTGAAATGGGGAGCAGGAGTGAGGGGGCATGGAGCGGCTCGCGGATATGGACGGGATCGGGGATCTGGCTGGAAGCAGAAGGTGCAAAGCGAAGGCAGCAGCAAGCAGCTCCCAGCCAGCTAAACCACCAGCCCCCAGTCTTGTGGTATAATTAAATCCCAGGAAATACTCCGGGGCGCCGCTCAGGAATTCAGGGGTGTTTGTCATGAGTAGCATTAAAAGCCTGGCTGATCCGTGGCTTGGTTGTTTTCTCAGCCGACCACCGGTGTCTTGTACAAGGAGGACAATTATATCATCATGACCACTGTGGATAAAGAGAAGTACAAGTGTCTGCTGCCGCTGATAGCCAGTGGCAACGAGGTGAGTTCAGGCGAGTTATTGTGTAAATATAATAGCTGAGTCTTTGCTCTGTCAGTTTTAATATCATGAGATGTCCTTCTGTTGCAGGAAGAAGAAAAGGACTATAAAGGTCCTACTCCAGGGGAGCTGCTGGAGCCTCTCTTTAAGCAAAGCAGCTGTTCCTACAGAGTATGTTACTTTTGTTCTGTTCATTAAATACCAATTAAAAGGTTACAGGCCAGTGCATGTCAAGGTTTTAGGGTAGTAAATGAGATACTAATACAGGCTGAAACAAGGTCTTTACAACTTTATGCCATAATATAGCTGACAAAATTCTGTGTGATTCAAGATGTCAGAATTCAGATAAATGGGTTGCTGTGGTAGCAGTTA